TATTTAAGAAGGTGAAAAAATATTTTGAAAACAAAACAACACAAATAATGCAAAGTGCCCACCTGCTTTTTCCAAGACTGTGCGCTCCAAACCCTCCCCAAACCACACAATGTGTGGTCTTAAAAGTCCCTTACAACCACCATTCTGACACCGTGGCAACTCTTCTGTTGGGATAGACGGAGGCGATGGTCCTTCGATCTTAGGTAAACTGTAAAAGATAGATGATGTGTAACATTAATTAAAAACGTAACTAAAAATGTTTTCTATTAGAGAAGTACACCTTCTTAATAATTCTAGACACAGCACTTAGCTCGAGAGTTAATCTGGATTAAGACATCAACTTACCCACGACCCCTCAAAGCTTCACATATAGGGCTGTCACTGTTCACACGAACTTCACCACACTTGAGGCAACGTGTCTTCATAAGAGAACCATGTAGTTCCACTACATTAGTTGAGCCAGCACGAGCATGTAGACCATCAACATTCTGAGTAATGATGTTAAATTTATGCCCCTCTGCAGTAAGACGGCGTTCAGCTTCAGCAAGAGCAGTGTGAGCCTACAAGCAACAAGAAGTAATTGTCATTCAAAAATTTCTCAATACTTTGACAAAGAAAGAAAATTTATAAGTACCTTGTTTGGAGAGGATGCCATGACTACTTCACGACGGTAGTGGTAAAACTCCCAGACCAGTGACGGGTCTCTCTTGAAAGCCGTGGGAGTTGCTAAGTCTGTTGCTTGATATGTTCTCCAAAAACCACCAGCGCCTCGGAATGTGGGAATACCTGACTCTGCTGACACTCCCGCACCCGTAAGGACAACTACATTTTTGGATTTTTTAAAGACGTCATGAAAGGCTTTCATGTCTGACAAACAAACCCGGGCACTCATGTTGTTTTGATTACTCCTGCAAATAAAAAACAAAACATGTAAGTACTAAGTACTAATAAGCATTTTTCAAAAGCTGGCTAGGTTTAGAGCGTATTTCCTAAAAATGTGTCAAATTACAGAGTAAAAATCTTGCTAGCGAACAAGACATGACACAATATGCAAACATTGGATGAATTCAATTAAAAACTTGATGTGTCAACTAGCACATAACCTCAACTCTCACATTAAGTCACACTTTTTAGCAAACTAGGTCCAAAAGTAAATGACAGTGCGAAAATTGCTTAGAAAAATAATGATGTTTGCGACAGGAACACATAATTACGGCCAAAGTCAATCCGAAAACCACAAACTTTACCCTGGATGTTTGTTGTTTTCCTGCTTGTCGGCGCTGCTTTGCTCTGCAAGTGTGTGTGGCGTTTGTTGGTGTGTGTGTGTGCGTGACAGTTGCGCATCAACCCGCCACGCCAGATTTCGCGGGTCACTTCAAATCGGATCGGGAAACAATACACGAGAAGCGGGGAGTGCTTGGTAAGAGGGAAAAGAGAGAGGCGCAGGGTTAGAGATAGGGAGAGACGGAGAGAGCGAGAGAGCGACGGTGGAGAGGGGCGAGGGAGTGGTAACTAGAGGCCACCGGGGCGACGGTACCCGCCGCCACGACTTACCTCCAAGGGGCCTCGCCACGGCAAGGCGCGCCGCTCGGCTGCTTGCTCCTGCCTGTAAGTCCTTTGGGGACCGTCACACTGGGTCAAGTTGCCCCAATGCGGTTACACGAGCAGTGTGTGTGGAGCAGACGATAGAGGGGTAGATTTTTAGCGAGTCGGGATATTTTGAACGTATTTAGGTCATTTTTTTTTTTCATCGCAGAGCTGTCAGAAGACCGATACGCAACAGAACTGTACCCGACCCCTTCCCATGCAAATGTGCGGGTCAGCATTCCTCGCCGCCCCC